CAATCGTAAAGGTGTCATTTTCCAGCAGGACAATGCTGGGCCGCACACGTCTTTGTCCACTCGGCAAAAATTGATGGATATTGGTTGGGAATTGATGTTACACCCACCACATAGCCCTGATCTCGCGCCATCGGATTACCACTTATTTCGATCCCTGGACAACTTCCTTCGTGGTAAAACTTTTAATGATAATGACGCTGTAAAATCTCACTTAACTCAGTTTTTGGCCGGAAACGATCAGACTTTCTACGAGCGTGGAATTTTCAAGTTGTCGGAGAGATGGCAAAAGGTCATCGAACAAAATGGAAAATACATTACAGATTAAACTTCATTCCAAGTAAAAAAAATGTTTTATTCCATTGAACAAATCGGCAATTACTTAGTTGCCAACCCAATATAATAGCCGCGAACGGTTTGTTGCCGACCTAACGGAGAATCGGGTATCGGCTACTCGATAGACCGCGTACGGTCTCTCTGCGAGCCGATACGGTAAACCGTATTGGTCTTCCGCTTGGCCTCGTTCGTTGCGGACATCTCCGTAACGGGCATTGCTCCGCTCTCGTGGACATCGTCCGCTCGTTAACGTCGCGTTTTCGCCAACCCACCCGATCAGCCACCCGGATTCTCCGGCTTCTTCTCCGTATCATCTGATCGGGTGTTCGCGCGGTTCGCGTGATCGAGAAGAAACGATCGGCGACGATTCGCGGTCTCTCGACTGCTGGCCGACGACGCTCCTCTCGATATTTCTGTTCGACGGAAAGCTGTTCGTGTTCCTTAAAGAGTTTCGGGACCACCGTGGCGTTCGTGTATTATCGTACCCTCGGCGGACGGGCTTTTTAAAAAGTTTACCCTCTCGAGACCACCTCGACGCGGACCGGAATATTTTACGTGGGACGAAGGAACGCGACCAAACGATTCCGCCGATCCGCAACGGTAAACGCTGCTCGGCGGACACGCTGGAAACTCGCGTCGAAACTACTCGCGTTCACGGCTCTCCGGGCTTTCCCGCGAATCGCGACGCGAGCCGGCCTCCGAAAGGAACGTCGTGGTCTCTCCTCCGCTTCTCTCCTCCTCCGCCTTCCAGCGGGACGGAAATACGCGGACGTAGAGCGGCCACGTGGGTCCGACGGCGTATCCCGAGGTTCCCGTCTTCTCGCCTCCCTCGTCCTTTGTCCCGCTATCTATTCATAGAGGAGAAAGCGCGAGCTGTCACGGTGACGGCCGCTCAAAGAGGACGCGAGAACGCGAGAACGCGAAAAACGGCAGACGGGCAAGCGCGTCGTCGACGATCCACCACCGTGTCTCGTAGTCTCGTTGCGTCTCCGGTCCGCATTTTATAATAAATATTATATTATTTATATACATAATATTATATTATTTATATATAATATTATATTATTTATATATAATATTATAATATTTATAATAAATATTATATTATATTATTTATAATAAAATAACGATAATTTATTCATGCAATGTGTACTGGTAGGAGAAGTAATAAAAAGGAAGAGATTTCGCATAGCAATCGCACGAGCACGTGCAAACGGAAGGAAGAAGCAACTTCATTTTGCAACTCCGAACGAATCGTCCTGCGAGGAATCGACTGATCGACTATTTCCTCGTTCTTCGTTTCAGGTGATACGTGGACGCGTCGTTTCGAGATGGATTCGAGACGGGGCTCGGCGCTGGTGGCGATGCTGGGAACGTTGGTCGCGGTCCTGAACGCTACCGACGACTTTCGACGCATCTCCTACGATGGTAAGCGTGCATCTGCAGAAAACGATCTAGCGAGATCAAGGGAGCATGTAAGAGATCCCCTAATAATAAGAGTCACGAAATAAGGGTAACGTTAGATCGTTCGACTATCGTTAGATCTGTCAGCCACTTATCAGCAACAATCTACGAAATACGTGTGTTGTCCACGTGCAACTCTACTAAGCACAAGCAAATAAAATGGCGACACAATCGCGTCGTACTATATACACTGTCGATCAAAAGTACATATGTGGATACTTGCCTGACTCTTACTATTATCTGAAAACGAAAATTGCGAAATGTTTATAAACTTGATTGCATTTCATGAGTTTTAATCAATAATTAATTAGCATTAATTAGCACGAGCATTTAATCAATAATTAATCAAGTAACTCATCAATGTACACTTCCAGACAAAAGTTAAAGAACATCTTTTAAAACGCAATAACTTTTTTAAAACTGAGCTAAATGTCTTGAATTTTGTTTAGATGATAGCTGGAGTAGACTACTGGACGATTGTTCTTACAGGCTCAAATAAAAAAGTTAAGAAGCGAGAGTTTTTTCTTTTCTTTGTCATTCCAAGTAATAGCAAATTTAAAAAAAAATAGTACTTCAGTCATTGTACAGTAAAATAGTCTCTCTAATATGTTTAAAAAAAGTTTCAGTCGTTTGGTTCAGTATTAAAAATGTTATTGCGTTTAATAAAATGTTTCTTAACTTTTGTCTGCAAGCGTATCCGCTGTGTGCTTTTATAATCGCATTTATTAGTCGTAGCATTCTGGCTGTTAGTTTTTTTCATTACTTCGCTGTCAATTGAATTTCACTCCGATTGTAAAATGTCCCACGAATGTCTTCAAAAATAAATGTTTTAATAAATATAAATATATTATTATTATTATTATTATATAATATTTATTATATTATTATTATAATTTAATTTTTAATTTTTTCTCGCGTAAACTTTTATTTATTTAAAGGATTTAAAAACTTGAATTCTTCGATTTGATGTTATTAATATACATTTCATATGGCACGCATCAATAGTGGTACAGAGACTCCCATTAATGTTCGGACAACTTTTATAACGCAATAATTTTTTTATAACTGCACTAAACAACTTGAGTTTTTTTTAGACGTTAGAGAAACCAGTGTATTAGACCATATCAAGAATGTTATCTTTTAAATTTCGGTAATGCTTGGAATGACAAGAAAAATATAAAAAAACTCATGTTTGAATATTCAAACTCGATTTTCTCGGAAACTAAGTCTGATACAAAAAGAACTATTCTATATTTTTGTCACGTTTTTTTTAACGAGGAATCACCCGATGCCCGCTTGTACATACTTTTAAGGGAGGCCCTGTACGTATATTATACAGGGTGTCCCGAAAATCTCTCGCAATTCGGAAATGGGAGGTTCCCGAGGTCATTTGAAGCAACTTCTTCCTTTGCGAAAATTTTCTCCGAGGCTTCGTTTACGAGTTATCAACGAAAAACACTGACCAATAAGAGGCGAGCTCGGCTGGCGCGCGGCGAGTGCTCGGAGCCCAGTTCCGCTCATTGGCTCGGCCGTCTCGCGCCAAATGATCTCGCCTCTGATTGGTCACGCTTTTTCCTTAATAACTCGTAAACGAAGCCGCGGATTGCATTCTCGCTAAGGAAAAAGTTGCTTCAAATGACCCCAGGAATCCCCTACTTTCGGATTGCGAGACATTTTTGGGACACCCTGTATGTATATTATATGCGCTTAAACATGGAAACACCAATCAGAATCGCGTTATTTCTTGACTCTTATTAGCGTGCCCCTAAGAGCAAGCGGCTCGCGACGCCGCGACTCGCCCACTCGTCTATAGAAACGACTGCGCCGATCGAGCTTGATTTCGCCGGTCGCCGGTCGCTGCATCTAGCAACAAAGTTTTCTCGATCCGCGCGTGGGCGACTCGTCGCGGGCGCGTGGCGGATGCGCGATGAAAAAGTTGGCAGAGCGAGCGAGCGGACCGCTATGGTTTTGGGCGTGCGGCGCGCGGACGACGCGTATTGCGTGGGCGGCGAGCATGGCACGCGTCGGCACGCGTTCGAATCCTCGGCGACATACGCTTCGATTTCACCACCGCGCTCGGTTCTCCCTATTGTCTCCTCGTTGTTTTAGCATCGAGTCGCGTGCCGTCGTTTTCGCGTCGCGTCGTCGCGTCGGGACGCCCCTCGTTCCAGCATCCAGCGCGTTTCCTTTGTTTCCCATCGCATCCTACGGCGCGGCGCGACGCGACACGGAGCGGCGTCGGTTTTCCTTTCTCCGGAGGAGCGGCGAGGCTGCGAGAACGCGCGCGTAATTCCTCGACCTCGGACGTCGTCCTACGTTGCGTGGAAAGCTGACCAAATCGGTGCCGGGTTACCAGCCGTTTAAGGTTCTTTAACCCTTATGTCGACCAGGCGATCGGGCACCCTTTGCACATTCTCTTTGACCCTTAGATGCATGATTTTTTGTTTTGAATTTTAAAAAATCATTTTTTATAGGAATGTAGTCATACGTTATACGTAAGAAATAAATAAAAGAATCTAGGTAATGATATTGAGTATTTATTTTGAAAAAAAATTGTATGTGGACTTTTGGCAACAATATGCGTTTATTACTAAAATTATTGTGGACGTGAACAAATGGTCATGTATTTATATTATCTATTAGTATAGGAATCGAATGCAACATCAAACATTCATAGCTTACCTGACAACAGATGAGAAGTAATTTTTTTTTTTTCATTTAGATAAATCACTGCTTTATAGGAAACTCGAAAAAAGAAAATATCTCTCCAAGTAACACATTGAAGGTTATCAGCCACCACATTCAAATGTCAAAAAACATATAACCTACTCGCCAGAAGTAATGTCAAGTCTTTTATTTCACATATGGTCTATTGTCTATTGTTATCAACGTGTGTTCGGAAACGTACATACTCGGGTTTTTGAATAAAATTATGTGGAACTGGAATGTAGACAATTGGCAATAATATGCATTTAAGGGTTAAAATCTCAATATCCGACTAGATCCTCGTTATTTGGCACATTTCCTATCGATATCTATTTCGAGTTTACAGTGCTGTTATCGGAATATTACTAAAAATTGGACGATAAAGTTTGACATATGGACCGTTTATTTTGAAAGTGGTGTGAGTCCTTTTTTTTAAAAAAAATGAGATATGACGTAATTTATGCTTGATATAGTGTAAACTTTTTGTTTATAACTAGTTAGTATTAAATATCTTAAAAAATGCCAATGCTTTGTTCAATTTAAAATTGGCCGGTAAAAGAAATTGCGTCATCATTGATTATGAAAGTGGTGTAAGTCCAATTTCCATCACGATGCCAAGCCTATTACATACGAAAAATATAAGGATATGCAGCAGCTTTTACCTTATATACCTCCTGCGCATCATGAATATTTCAAAACACTGCCACATGAAGAGCATAAATAATTAATAATACCAATATCTTGTGTTAGGTTTAACAATATATAAATTTAATTAACGTTGAAAATAAAAAATGCTAATCCTATTTTATTTCTTGTTATTATTTATAAACAAAATTGGATTAATATGAGATATATTTTAAGCGATATTTGTTATTTCAAAATTGAAATTAAATGATATTTACAATTGACTAATTATGGAAGTGGTGTAAGTTCATTTGCAGCCTGGAAATTGTATATTATTTTAGTTAAATTCGCCTAAAAAAAATTTATATAATCAAATTACATATTGATAAATTAGTACAAACATTCCCAGACTTCACATAATTAACCTATATTTTTTAATTGTCAGATCTGCTAACATTCAATTTTCTCGAAACGAAAGAAAGTGGCTTTGCACCATTTTCAAAATAAACGGTCCATATGTTTGCTCGATAACTGGGTACCCTTTTGTGGATTCTCTTCAAAATATTCTTTCTATCCGGTTATATATTTCAATATCCGTCTAGATCATCGTTTTTTGGCACATTTCTCATCGATGTCTGTTTTCGTTGTATAATTTTATTATCGGAAAAGTACTAAAATTAGATGATAAAGCTCGAGCTACGTTTGCACCCCTATAGGAGATGAGGATAGATAATGTAGGATGAGAGCAGAAATTCTCCAGACAATTAATAAAAATGATATTTCATCGCGGTGATAAATATAAAATCAATAAAAATCAATATTTATATAATTACATATTTATATAATGTACATATTTGTATAAAATAGTAACGTAATATGGGAACTCGAACATGGGACTACTACTATAGGGAGCTCGACGTAGTATAGAAGTACACTCCCGCTTAAAAGTATGTGGACACTTATTAATTTTATAAAAACTACGAAATGTAATGAGTATTACTATTGTTAAATGATTATTGCTAAATTCTATTTTGAATGCATGTATACTTGAATCCTATAAACAAATAAAAGTTTATGCGAGAACAAAAATTGAAAAGAAATATTCATCGAAACACTTACTTTTAAAAACATTTATGGGACGTTTTACAATCGGAATGGAACCCAATTAACAGCCTAATAAATGCGATTATAAAAGCAGACGGCCGATACACGCTTACGTACAAAAGTTAAGAAACACTTTTTTAAACACAATAACTTTTTTTAACACTGGACTAAATGACTGGAACTTTTTTAAACATATTAGAACTAGCTTACTGTACAGTGACTGAAATATTATATTTTTTTAATTTTGCTATTACTTAGAATGACAGAGACAAGAAAAAACTCTCGTTTTTTAATATTCTTATACGATCTTATAACAAAAATCGTCCAGTAGACTGGTCCAACTATCATGTAAACAAAATTCAAATCATTTAGCTCAGTTTTAAAAAAGTTATTGCGTTTCGAAAGATGTTCCTTAACTTTTGCCTGAAAGTCTATATCGATGAGAAGAGGATAGAATTATTTCTTTTATCGTTATTGGTGAGTTATTTGATTATTTATTGGTCAAATGCGATCTCTAATATCGTACAAACTAGCACACATGAAATTTAATCAAGCTTATTAAAGATTTCATCATTTTTATTCGGATAGCAGTAAGAGTTAAAAGGAGGTGTCCACATTGTATTGGGTTAGCAACTAAGTAATTGCCGATTTCAGTTATAGATGTCTCTCACTCCCATTTTTATGATATCCGTAAATGTTATATTATAAAATTATTATTATTATTATTATGTTATATTTTATTATCCGTGAATGTTAGCAACTGGACAAATTGAATGCAGCGGTCAAGGAAAAGCGAGCAGAATTGGTCAATCGTAAAGGTGTCATTTTCCAGCAGGACAATGCTACGCCGCACGCGTCTTTGTCCACTCGGCAAAAATTGATGGATATTGGTTGGGAATTGATGTTACATCCACCATATAGCCCTGATCTCGCGCCATCGGATTACCACTTATTTCGATCCCTGAACAACTCCCTTCGTGGTAAAATTTTTAATGATGATGACGCTGTAAAATCTCACTTAACTCAGTTTTTGGCCGAAAACGATCAGACTTTCTACGAGCGTGGAATTTTCAAGTTGTCGGAGAGATAGCAAAAGGTCATCGAACAAAATGGAAAATACATTACAGATTAAACTTCATTCCAAGTGAAAAAAAATTTTTTATTTCATTGAACAAATCGGCAATTACTTAGTTGTCAACCCAATATGTACTTTCGAGCGGTAGCGACGTCGATGATTTCGATTACTTACACATAAGGGTTAAACTCGTCGCTTCACGAATCACGGTTCGCGGTTCGCAGTCTTTCCGGTTTGAACGCGAGAGCGGAGTGCAGCTCGCGTACTCACGGCTCTGCCGTGCTCCTCCGAAACAAGATCCGCGCGACCGCATTTCGCATTATCGTTCCCCGTTGAAATTCGCGAACGTAGTCTCGTTAGCGGGTTCCGCGTTGACTTCGAGCCGGAGCTATTTCGAGGACGAGCGGTATCCGAGAGCCACGCGGAATCGATTCCGCGTGGCTATTCGCGAGGCTATCGATGGAGGACGCGTCGCTCGACGTGGCGTTCTTAGAGGCTGATTATCGCGAATCGACGGTATCGATGAATCGATAGAAAGGGGAACACCGCGCTACGCCGCCTCGAACGAGGATCGGATTCCAGCGCTTTCCTTTTTTTTTCGTTTTTCTTTTTTCATTTCCTCCATCTATTCGCAGAAGAAGTTCTTTAGTACGAAAGAACTGCAATACGTTGAGAAAAACACGTGACGTTCGTACAAAGAAAATGTCGTCGTTTAAATTATTATATTTACGCTTACATGCGTACAATATAATTTCGCTTGTAATGTTACATTCGATGGATCGTTGTATAATAATTAGACTGCGGATTTTATGCGTTTGTGAGAAAAATTCATGGATCAAATTCGAAACTGTAAACATGCATATATTGCAATAGTTTAAGGATATTATTACAGCGCGTTCAACTTATTAAATTATTATTAAATGGGGAACGACATTTTCATCTCATTTACGTTTCTCGCAACGAACTCGGACAATTTTTATTTTGCATAAAGATCCGCAGTCCAATAATAATACATTCTTGTTTTCTCTTTTCTTCTTTTTGTTATTGTATTTCATCTATTCTTGCGTGACTGCGACCATATTATTACACACACACACACACACACACACACACACACACACACACACACACACACACACACACACACACACACACACACACACACCCTCTCTCTCTCTCTCTCTCTCTCTCTCTCTCTCTCTCTAATTCTAACGAAAGGTTCATTCCGTTGATAAATAAAGTTATTATTATTATTATTATCATCATCGTCATCGTCATCATTATTATCATTATTATTATTATTATCATCATCATCATTATTATTATNACACACACACACACACACCCTCTCTCTCTCTCTCTCTCTCTCTCTCTCTCTCTCTCTAATTCTAACGAAAGGTTCATTCCGTTGATAAATAAAGTTATTATTATTATTATTATCATCATCGTCATCGTCATCATTATTATCATTATTATTATTATTATCATCATCATCATTATTATTATTATTAACCCTTTGCACTCGAGTGGTGACTCTGAGACACCATTAAAATTGTTAGTTCGTGTTCCAAACTAATTTTTATATTAACAAAGTTTAAATTTAAAAAATTGTTGAAAGTGTAACTGTGTCATCACAAGTCATCGCAAGACTCAATTTCACATGCATAAAATGCACTTTGTCGTATAAAATGGAAATACCATAAGTCAGAGAAATTATTTTAGATTCACGGTTAAAATGGCTTCGAGTGCAAAGGATCAATATGCTGCAATGATAGCTTTAGACTTCATAGGGTTTGTTCAATTACATCTGTTTTTACGGAGTTAGGATCATTGATCATTCAGTTAACACAGCTTCGAGATTGCACTATGTAATGCGACGATCTTCAGAATAAGATACGCGTGCAACACCTTGAACGTTTTCATGACGCATGCAATGAGAACGATCGAATAATTTCCATTAAATATACCAATTTGATTCGATTTCTAAGAAGGCGACGTGTTGTTCCTCGCTGCGTCGAGTTTTCCCAGCGCCGATCGTATCGCGATCGTTTCCCGATAACGAGAAAGAAAGGTCGCTGGTTCCGCGGATCGCGAAAACCGCGAAAACGTTCGTCCGATCGACGCGGACGGAAAGACCGAGCGGGGAACCGGCACGGATAGGAGAAAAAGTTGTGGAAAGGGAGGGCAAAAGAGAGAGAGAGAGAGAGAGAGAGAGAGAGAGAGAGAGAAAGAGCGAGAGAGTGAGGAAGAGAGGAAGAAGGGGACTGGTCGTACAGGGAAGGGATCTCGGCGAAAAAGAAAAGGCGGAGAGTGAAGGGAGGATACCCGAGAGGCCTTCGAGATCAGGTTATGCTAACTGGGGCCCGTTCGTCCCACACGTATCTACTTATAAGCGCGTGTACGTGGTCGCACGGACGCCGATGTCGCGGCGGTATAGGTTCGCGGTGTGTTTGCGCTCTCGCATCGCGTTCAACGTTTGTGTTCGCGCACGGTGCGCGCCCGCGCCAGCGCACGCACCGCCGATGAACGAGTACCTGAATACGTGGAAACGCGAGAGAGAGAGAGAGAGAGAGGTACGACCAGCGAGATGCAGGTATCTCGGCGGATTCGTTTCTCCTCGGTGCCGGCAAACCGGCTGAAAACTAACAAGACCAATGCGACGTGCCGTGGAAAAACCGAGACGAGACTCGCCGCGCCGCGCGCACCGGCTCCGCTTCGCGCGAATAACTCGAAACGCTTCGGAAACGGGAAAGAAACGAGTCCACGACCTCTTCGCTCTCTGCTCGCGCCAGTTTCTCGAACGAGAAGTCGTTCCTCTTGCGCGCGGCGACCAATGGCAGCAAGCGACCGTCCGCGTACGGTCGCGAAAAAACTGGAAAATTTTCTGCCCGGGAATAAGTCGCCGCCGTTGGACGCTAAACAAAGGGGCAGAGAGGCGCGGAGCGGGGAGAAGAGGGTGGGGTGCATCGTCGCGAGATGCCGCCGCGGCGTTCCTTCGACGTCGACAAACTAGTTTGTCCGGAAGGGAAAAAAGATTTCGTGGAACACGGATGCGATCGTTGTCGCGATCGCGACAACGATCGCGACAACGATCGCGGTTACGATCACGGTTCAGCGGATCGAACTCGGTCTCGATCGACGCAGAAACGTCGTAAGAATCGTCGCGGGACTGTACGAAAAACGTCGACGTGTTTCAGATTTGGCGGACACCGCTCTGTTCCAGCAAGAGGGGGTGTCGACGTACTCTCAGCTGCTGTTCGACGTAGCCAGACAGCAGGTTGTCGTCGGAGCACGGTAAGCGAGACGAGTGGCCACAGACGAACGTAAACGAGAGGAGCCCGTTTCCGGGTTCGCGGAAAAAACCACGAGCCGCCTCGTCGGTCAAATCGTGTTACGGAACGACTAAAGCTTGGCGATCCGCCAGGTCCCGAGTGTCACGCGGTTCTCTCGTCTTCCCGGGATCGTCGACCGTTTCGGCGATCCTCGCAGAGAGAGAGAGAGAGAGAGAGAGAGAGAGAGAGAGAGAGCAGTGCGAGCCTCGCGTAGGCGCCGAGCCGAAGAAATTTACGGAATCGATCGAAGATCGGCGCTCGCCTTTCAAAGGAGAACGCGCTCCGCCCTCGCGGTCTCTCGATTGATAAAAGTCGGTCGTTAGTCTCGACCTACGCGCGTCCCGACTCGTCCGGAAAGGTACGTGCGCGAATTCGAAAAATCGGTCCGGTTCCGACGGCCGCGCGCTTCGCGCGTTCGGCCGAAAGTCAGGCGGGCGGCCGGCGAAATCCGGCTCGGGCCCGAGCCCGAGCCCCGAGCCCGATTCGCTCGGACAGAAATAAAATTCGGTCGAGTTCTTCCAGTCCGCGTTTCCCTTCGAGAGCAGAGGCGGTCGGTTATTCGGAGCGAAAAACAGAGAAAGGAGAGGCGAACGTCGGAGAACGTCGAGACGGCGCCAAAGTGTCCTGCGCGCGAGTACGCAATCGTTCTTGTTCTCGGATAATCGCGCTCACGCTCGCGAGCCTCGCGAGCCGACAGGTAAAACGTGTGGGCCGCGTTCGCGTTCGCGTCGCGATATCGGTCCAGCTGCGAACGGAGCGACCGTTCCTTGTTAACCGAACCGTGGAAATTGGACGAAACCAGAAGGAAAACCGTGGCGCCGAGTCTGGTCGGCCAGATCCCCCTCCTCCCCCTCGCCTCCGACGCCTTTTGCATTCCGACTCTGCGAATTGCTCGCGGTGCAATCGCCGCGCGTCGTCGCCACGCCAAATTCGATTTCGATGTCGCGACAGGTGTCGACGGGCGAAAAGATCCGGATTCGAACGCGTCGCGTCGTTCGTAATCGTCGTCGTCGTCGTCGTTGCGGAGGCCGACTAGATGCGCGGTGGTGCCACGACGTAGATCGAATCGAAAAGACACTCGCGAATCGTCGGACAATGCGCGGTGGCGCGAGGGAGCCAACAGGAAGCAATCTGTTTCAATGAGACGGCTCGAACGTCGCGATGCGCAGTGTTACGAGCAATGGACAAAACTCAAAAAAAAAACTGAAGTCTAAAATTCGTAGCTTATTGTATCTTGAAATGCTAATAAAGAAATATATAAAGAAATATAAAGAAGATGATTAGAAATACTAATACTGTTCAGGATTTTTACTGAATTTTCCGGTTTGTTCTAAAAAATGATGCTTGATATTTATTCCAATCTTCAGTGCATCTTCTTAAACGCGTGCCATTCTTCCAACATTCATCCGATTGATCTGATTTTTATAAATTATTTTTAGTATTGTAAGACCTTTCAAGCTGTAGAACAATTCTTTTACGATATCAACAATTTGTTCCAATTTTGTATGTTAAACGTTTATCAACTTTGACTTGAGTTTTGAAAAAAGTATGATGAAGTACCTCCGTGATTTTTTGTACATTAATTGGGGGCATATTAAAATTCGTATTTGCGTCGAATTTAGCTGCACGAAGTTGCTCAACATTGTAAAAATAATCGAAATCATTATTTAGACGCTCGAATTTCAACGCTCAAATTTTTTATTTGCTTATACAATTTTGTGAATTATTCGAAATGAATTTGGAGGAGTTATATTGCTCTACTTATATCAATTTTAATTTTAATATTTATACCTCTATTAAATTTTAATAAATTCTCATCAAATAAATTTTACTGATTAAATCAACATTCTCTTATATTGAATACTACTTCTTTCATTCATTATATTAACTTGATTAAGATGACAATTAATTGAATATCCTTTCACCATGGTAAGAATAATATTTACAATTATATATTTTTCATATTTTATTATTTCACCACTATTAAATTATTATTTGAGATAAATTATTATTTTAAGTTAACGAATTTGATAAAGTATATACTTTGAAGATATAATATAACTATAAAATTATTTATTAACTTAAAATTTAAGTAAAATAAGTAATAATTTCCTTCATCCGTATAGAAAATAAAATAAATAATAATATTAAGGATAAAATTTTCTTCCAACATAATAGCGTAGTCTCTGAGCGTCCATTCGTAGTCTCGTAACTCAAGAATAAATAGCGACAGGAATTTATTAAATCGACTTATTATAGTGTCAGGCTCAATAATATCTCACTACAAAAGAAAAATACAGGAATGTTAAGAAACACGATTTAAGAGACATGAAACGAGACTATTTAATAATAGAAGAATCGCGTCTTGAATCATCAGATGCAAACACCGACTACTGTTCTGATTCAGATATAAGCATCGTATAGCAAACAATTGATTTAAAGAATATCTTTAAAATAAAATCTCAAACAAGCGTTAATTCATTTCCTTTGCTCCAAAATTCATTTCCGATAAACCGACAGAAAAGTTTTTCAAACTAAAGTTTTAAAGTCACGCTCGGTAATCGCGTGACAATAAATTTCAATTGAAAAAATTAGTAAACATGTTTTCATTATTAAAATTGCGCTTTTCCTCCTATAAATCAATGCATCTTTGTATCCCCTTAAAAAAGAAATATTAGGTCGAAAATGAATGAATTTAGAAGCAATGAATTTTGTCCCGAACGCCAATATACTCGTTACACTGTGCCATGTCCCGAACACTCCTCGACACCGCGGGATTTACGAATTCGTTGGAACGAACGCGAAACGGTCGCAGCGAGAAAGGCGCTTCATTTCGATTTTGCCGGGATAACGATAGATCTTGTTCGCTCGAACGCAACGGCGGAGTGGACGAGGCGGAAGAGGGTGGAGAACGACGAGAGGGTGGCAGGCGTGGTTTACGCTTCGCTGCGAAGTAGCCATCTTCGTTCTCGACGACTTTCGGCTCTCTACCTTGCTCTCGTTTTCAGGGACAATCTTTACCGATTGACGCTGACGTCGTTGACGGCGCTGGAGCAGGCCGCCTGGCCCGCCCCGGACGACAAGACCAACACGTGCCAGAACAAGGGCCAGACCGTCGAGGACTGTCGCAACTACGTGAAGGTGCTGCTCAGCAACGGCAAGAGCTTGTTCACCTGCGGCACCTACGCGTTCAGCCCTTGGTGCACCTGGAGAGAGGTAAGGTCTTGTCTTCCTCGCTCGAAACGATGGATCTGGATGATCGAGAATCTTTGCCGATCGATCGTAGATCGAGAACATTACCAGCGTGACCAGCGAGATGTCGGGCGTGGCGATGTGCCCTTACTCGCCGCACGCGAACGTCACCGCTTTGCTAGCCAGAGGACCCACCGGGGGGTTGTTCACCGGTGCGCCGAGCGATTTCTCCGGTGCCGATTCCGCGATCTGCAGATTTCTCGCTTCGCCGAACCTCCGGACGCACCAATACGACTCCAGGTACGAGACGTTTCCGATCCCGATCCCCCGATCCTCCCTCGTGACCGTCCTACATTTGAGCCGTTTATTTTGAAAGTGGCGTAAGTCGCTGTACTCGGGAAATTAATTGCGGGGCTTAGATGTGTATAAGAGACAGAACAAGATCTATCGTTATCCCGGCAAAATCGAAATGAAGCGCCTTTGTCGCTGCGACCGTTTCGCGTTCGTTCCAACGAATTCATAAATCCCGCGGTGTCGAGGAGAGATGTGTATAAGAGACAGAACAAGATCTATCGTTATCCCGGCAAAATCGAAATGAAGCGCCTTTGTCGCTGCGACCGTTTCGCGTTCGTTCCAACGAATTCATAAATCCCGCGGTGTCGAGGAGAGATGTGTATAAGAGACAGAACAAGATCTATCGTTATCCCGGCAAAATCGAAATGAAGCGCCTTTGTCGCTGCGACCGTTTCGCGTTCGTTCCAACGAATTCATAAATCCCGCGGTGTCGAGGAGAGATGTGTATAAGAGACAGAACAAGATCTATCGTTATCCCGGCAAAATCGAAATGAAGCGCCTTTGTCGCTGCGACCGTTTCGCGTTCGTTCCAACGAATTCATAAATCCCGCGGTGTCGAGGAGAGATGTGTATAAGAGACAGAACAAGATCTATCGTTATCCCGGCAAAATCGAAATGAAGCGCCTTTGTCGCTGCGACCGTTTCGCGTTCGTTCCAACGAATTCATAAATCCCGCGGTGTCGAGGAGAGATGTGTATAAGAGACAGAACAAGATCTATCGTTATCCCGGCAAAATCGAAATGAAGCGCCTTTGTCGCTGCGACCGTTTCGCGTTCGTTCCAACGAATTCATAAATCCCGCGGTGTCGAGGAGAGATGTGTATAAGAGACAGAACAAGATCTATCGTTATCCCGGCAAAATCGAAATGAAGCGCCTTTGTCGCTGCGACCGTTTCGCGTTCGTTCCAACGAATTCATAAATCCCGCGGTGTCGAGGAGAGATGTGTATAAGAGACAGAACAAGATCTATCGTTATCCCGGCAAAATCGAAATGAAGCGCCTTTGTCGCTGCGACCGTTTCGCGTTCGTTCCAACGAATTCATAAATCCCGCGGTGTCGAGGAGAGATGTGTATAAGAGACAGAACAAGATCTATCGTTATCCCGGCAAAATCGAAATGAAGCGCCTTTGTCGCTGCGACCGTTTCGCGTTCGTTCCAACGAATTCATAAATCCCGCGGTGTCGAGGAGAGATGTGTATAAGAGACAGAACAAGATCTATCGTTATCCCGGCAAAATCGAAATGAAGCGCCTTTGTCGCTGCGACCGTTTCGCGTTCGTTCCAACGAATTCATAAATCCCGCGGTGTCGAGGAGAGATGTGTATAAGAGACAGAACAAGATCTATCGTTATCCCGGCAAAATCGAAATGAAGCGCCTTTGTCGCTGCGACCGTTTCGCGTTCGTTCCAACGAATTCATAAATCCCGCGGTGTCGAGGAGAGATGTGTATAAGAGACAGAACAAGATCTATCGTTATCCCGGCAAAATCGAAATGAAGCGCCTTTGTCGCTGCGACCGTTTCGCGTTCGTTCCAACGAATTCATAAATCCCGCGGTGTCGAGGAGAGATGTGTATAAGAGACAGAACAAGATCTATCGTTATCCCGGCAAAATCGAAATGAAGCGCCTTTGTCGCTGCGACCGTTTCGCGTTCGTTCCAACGAATTCATAAATCCCGCGGTGTCGAGGAGAGATGTGTATAAGAGACAGAACAAGATCTATCGTTATCCCGGCAAAATCGAAATGAAGCGCCTTTGTCGCTGCGACCGTTTCGCGTTCGTTCCAACGAATTCATAAATCCCGCGGTGTCGAGGAGAGATGTGTATAAGAGACAGAACAAGATCTATCGTTATCCCGGCAAAATCGAAATGAAGCGCCTTTGTCGCTGCGACCGTTTCGCGTTCGTTCCAACGAATTCATAAATCCCGCGGTGTCGAGGAGAGATGTGTATAAGAGACAGAACAAGATCTATCGTTATCCCGGCAAAATCGAAATGAAGCGCCTTTGTCGCTGCGACCGTTTCGCGTTCGTTCCAACGAATTCATAAATCCCGCGGTGTCGAGGAGAGATGTGTATAAGAGACAGAACAAGATCTATCGTTATCCCGGCAAAATCGAAATGAAGCGCCTTTGTCGCTGCGACCGTTTCGCGTTCGTTCCAACGAATTCATAAATCCCGCGGTGTCGAGGAGAGATGTGTATAAGAGACAGAACAAGATCTATCGTTATCCCGGCAAAATCGAAATGAAGCGCCTTTGTCGCTGCGACCGTTTCGCGTTCGTTCCAACGAATTCATAAATCCCGCGGTGTCGAGGAGAGATGTGTATAAGAGACAGAACAAGATCTATCGTTATCCCGGCAAAATCGAAATGAAGCGCCTTTGTCGCTGCGACCGTTTCGCGTTCGTTCCAACGAATTCATAAATCCCGCGGTGTCGAGGAGAGATGTGTATAAGAGACAGTCCTACATTTGAGCCGTTTATTTTGAAAGTGGCTTAAGTCACTTTACCGTAATGAAAAGTGGTGATTTTTTAATGTTTATACGAAATTATTTATACTGAGAAAAATATCAGTATCCTGAGATAACAAATACAAGTAAATCTTCTCGAAAGTTAGCATCCATATTTTGAAACGTGTTAAAACGCAAACCCTTAAATATATCGACTTAAAAACAAAGTGACTTATGCCACTTTCAAAATAAACGGCTCATTTATGCGTTGCCTTTGCGTAGGTGGTTGAACGATCCGCAGTTCGTCGGCAGCTTCGAGACCGAGGACCATGTCTACTTCCTGTTTCGCGAATCCGCCGTCGAGTACATAAACTGCGGCAAGGTAATCATATTATACATACTTTCCCCGTCCGCTCTTCTTTTCCCGCAACCAGTTTCTTCGTTCGTTGACACAGCGGGGCTCTCTGTTCTTTTTTCCAGAAAATCTATTCGAGAATCGCGAGAGTCTGCAAGAACGATCGCGGCGGACAGATCATGATGAAAGAGGTTTGGACGACCTTCGGCAAGGCGCGACTCAACTGTTCGCTGCCCGGCGAGTTTCCGTTTTACTACGACGAGATCCAAGGCGCCGTTTATCACGCGGAAGAGGGCATCGTTTACGCGACATTTACCACGCCCATGTAAGTAACGCGCATCCATCTCATCCAACTCACCTCGAGTTACCGATTTCGCTCAATCCGTTCGCGATTTTCCATGTCTGCGCTCTCGATTCCGAAGGGGCGACCAGAAAGGTAGGTAGCTGGCCCGTCTCGACGGCGTTCGCGGCGTATTCCGTGTTCGATCCGAGGGAGAAAATAAATGGAGGCGGTGTACACGGCTCCGCTAAACTCTGCGTTGTCGCGTATTTTTAGCAACGGCATCGCGGGCTCGGCGATCTGCGCGTTCAACATGTCCGCGATCACCGCCAGCTTCGAGGGGCCCTTCAAGCACCAGGAGAACTCGGGCGACGCCTGGCACAGGGGCCCGGTCCCTCACCGGTCGCGGCAGCGGTGCGGAATGTCCGCCGACGTGGCGCCCCATCAGATCGTTGACAGCCAGAGATACCAGCTGATGGACGACGCGGTGCAAGCCACGACCCTCGAGCCGCTCCGCGTCGCAACCCTCGAGAGGTTCACGCACATCGCCTTGGACCAGACTCCGACCAAGCTGCACCGTGGCGTTACGGTTCTCTACGTCGCCACCGATGCTGGCCTGATCAAGAAGATCTCGGTGCTGCCCAGAACTCGAGAAACCTGCATCGTCGAGGTCTGGGGCCCGTTGCCGTCTCCACCGTTGACCCTGCAATTCCTCAAGGACACGCAGAGTCTGTACGTCGGCACCGAGATCGGATTGTCGAGGTACGTGCCGCGACGCACTCTGCTCGATACCTTCAAAAAATGGGACAAAAATTATTGCGATTTGAAAATTTGTTCTATAGGCAGGTAACAGGATGAAACGTATCTTATTTACCTTCGTAAATGCACGTACCGTTCCTGTCAAGTAACGACGCAACGTCATTATTGATTTCTACTTTTTCATTCATTGGTAAACCTACGAGGCTTGTTATTAGAGGATCCGATGTTGTGCGAAGCATAACAGTGATTATTTAATTTAATTTAATTTAATTTAATTTAATTTAATTTATTCGTTTAATGGTTTAATTCCTCGATATACAGTTAATACGAAATATATATTTACAAACGAATATAAAAAGGAGAAGAACGAATATATAAAATGTATCTGTGAGAACTTTTAACGAAGACTTTTAAGCTAATTAAACTTAAACTTAAAATAAAACATCGAACCGTCAAATAACGATTATAGTTTTCAGACAATAGAACCACGTAAACTTTGCTATTGCAGTAATAGGAGTCACGTTAAGTACCACAAGAAAGAATTCATTCGAACAGATTCGAAAGAAGTTGTATGTCAATACTCAAATTGTAGGCTAATTGTAGTCTAAGTCTATTTATTTTAAAATCCAGATATTTCCAAAAGTATTAATATTTATGCATAAATTTAAAAATATTGGTAACTGATAACATGGTAGTAAATCTTTTTGTGTTTCAAAGGGTTATTGTTTTCTAGAGGCTTTGCAGAAATCAAATTATATGTAACGTAGTAAAATGCAAATATTCAAATAGCAAGCTCGATGTTTTTGGAAGATCGACTTAGGCCACTTGCAAAATAAACGGCTCAGTATCACGAATTTTTTTTCTGTTATCTAACTGATTCTTCAATTATTATAATACTTTGTGTGAAACCACATTTCCAGTTTTTAAACAATTGGGAGCATACTGATTTTAATACAAGGGAGATATAAACAAAATTTAAATAATTTTCAATTTGTTCGATGATTAGTAAAAATAAATGTATAACACTCATCAATTATACGTATTAGACAATAATAAATCAATCTACGTAACAATTTTCCATTTACAAGATGGTCGTTATATTAACCTTTTAGGCACGACGCGCCACTATAGTGGCTTCCGCGGATATCATCTTTTAGAACGACGCGCCACTATAGTGGCTTTCGCGGATGTCATCTCTCTGGACGACGCGCCACTATAGTGGCTTGCTCTAGTAGCTCACTCGCTCATCGTTTGAATCAAATAATCGTCTTCATATGCATTGTTTCACACTTCTTTTGTCTTCATATCGATTTACAACAGTCTACAAGGTGTCCCAAAAATGTCTCGGAATTCGGAAATCGCGGGTTCCTTGGATCATTTGAAGCAACTTCTTCCTTTACAAAAATGTTCTCCGAGGCACCGTTAACGAGTTATTAACGAAAAACAGTGACCGATAAGAATCGAGTACGGTTGATGCGAGGCGGCCCAGCCAACCAGCGCGCGAAGCCCAGTTCCGCTCATTGGCTCGATCGCCTCGCACCAGCCGAGCTCGCCTCTCATTGGTCACTGTTTTCCGTTGATAACTCGTCAACGGTGCCTCGGAGAAAATTTTTGTAAAGGAAAAAGTTGCTTCAAATGGCCCGAAGAACCCGTCACTTTCGGATTGCGAGACATTTTTGGGACACCCTGTATATACAGACAGAATATACAGTATCAGACTGTACAGTACATATCAGACTCTGCCGTCCAGAGAAACAGCCTTTTGTCCCAATTTTCAAAGACAATCGATCACTACGCGAGGCAATCGAATAATACCATTCGAACACTTTTGAATCGGGCGCTTTTGTTTCTTGCTTGCAGGCTGCCAGCGGTCCAGTGCCATCGACATCGTAGCCGTCAGGCCTGCTTGAACGCTCAAGAGCCTTACTGCGGCTGGAACGAGCTGATGATGAAGTGCGCGTCTGCGCCGAGGCAGAATCATTTGGTGAACCATTGGCATCAGGAGGTGACCAAGTGCCCAGTCCTCACGGATCCCGTGGACGGCGGCTGGAGCGCCTGGAGTTCTTGGTCCGTTTGCCAGCACGGAACCGCGGACCATGGCCGATCGCACGTCCACGGGCATCCGCACGCTCACCCGCACTCGCATTCGCATTCGGAGCACGCAGAGGTAGGTGATCGTGTTGCGAGTAACGATGAACTCGATACTGACATTATTGATGATATTCAGTCAGTTCGATACCAAAGTACTTAATAACAGGCGAAATTTTAGGCACTCGGTACATCTTAGCGATAACGAGACTTCTTATAATGATACCAAACCAATACTGTATTGAATCGAAGTTTTCTTGACACTTTTCGAAACTATCGCTACTCGTTTGATACTTCACGAATGGATCGGTGGTCTTCCCTAACGAAATTGTAAATGCCTGTTTAATACTATGAGATATTAAATACAGAGTGTCCCGAAAGTTACTGAAAATCGAGAAAATACGGATTCCTGAGAACATTTGAAGTAACTTTTTCTTTAGCGCAAATGAAATCCGCGGCGTTGTTTACGAGTTATCAATGAAAAATACGGACCAATGAGAGGCGAGCTCGACTGGCGCACGCCGGCCAAGCGAACGAGCCGTTGAAGTCGAATTCCGCTTATTGGCTCGGCCGCCTCGCCGCTTATATTTCGATAAGGAAAAAGTTACTTTAAAGTTACTTCAGAAACCCTCCATTTTCGGATTACGAGACAATTTTGGGACACCCTGTATACTCATTTGATGCTCCATCGAATCATGTTAATAGACGGAGTTACGTTTTCATAACTGTAGGATTACGCAGTGTTGATGTCGTTCGCTAGCCGAATGTTGTCGCGAGCGATCGTGGAATATGGAGAAAAAGAATGGGAAGCGTTTCGACCGGATCCCGCTAGAGGACTCATTAGTAAGAATATCTTAGCGATGCCCTGTTTTAGACGCGGGTATGAAATTTGTATATACAGGGTGTCCCAAAAATGTCTCGCAATCCGGAAGTGACGGGTTCCTCGGATCATTTGAAGCAACTTCTTCCTTTACAAAAATGTTCTCCGAGGCACCGTTAACGAGTTATTAACGAAAAACAGTGACCACTAAGAATCGAGTACGGCTGACGCGAGGCGGCCCAGCCAATCAGCGCGCGAAGCCCAGTTCCGCTCATTGGCTCGGTCGCCTCGCGCCAGTGAACTCGCCTCTCCGTATTAATAACTCGTTAATGGTGCCCCGGAGAAAATTTTTGTAAAGGAGAAAGTTGCTTTAAATGGCCTGAGGAACCCGCCACTTTCGGATTGCGAGACATTTTTGGGACACCTTGTACATATACAAATTGAGGCAGATCGGTATTTGCGGGAAAGGAGAACTCATCTGGCGGAGATAGCAGGCGGTAGCTCCCCACGTAACTAAACAAAATAGTTGTAAACACGATTAACATAGAAAGAATTCCTATCGAATTTATTGAATCTTACTTCCTCGTGTGTTGTATTAGTATTAATACTTTCGTTCTATGTAAATTGATACTTTCATCAAGGTATACACACAAAAGAGAGCGGGCCAGCACCGGTATTCTTGTAAATGTATCAGTCAGGCATCGATATTTTGGACTAAGTATTGATAACTACGTCTTTGATACAATTCAGTATTGGATCGAAATTCGTCAACTGATATCGACAGATATCGATGCTGTATCAGTCGCAACATTAGTCGCGAGTTCATCGGTTCGTCGAAAACGAATGAATAACGCGGAACGTTCTCAGGTGACGGACAGCTGTCAATGTCAAACCCGAGAGTGCAACAATCCACCGCCGCAACATGGCGGCGCGAGCTGTACGGGCGCCAGAGTCCGCGTGACCAACTGCACCGTGCACGGAGGCTGGACAGCCTGGTCGGCTTGGTCCGCATGCTCCCAGACCTGCGGCTTGGCGATGAGAACTCGTCGACGCTCCTGCACCAATCCTGCTCCCGCTTTCGGTGGTAGAGTCTGTGTCGGCCATGATCACGACGACATCGTCTGCATAGACCTGCCGCCTTGCCCCGCGCCGATCAAGGCCGCGACGCCGTCCCCACAATCCGGTCAGTGGTCGCCGTGGGGGCCCTGGAACTCTTGCTCGCGACCCTGCAACACTGGTAACGATCCAACTTTTTACATATTTATTTAGACAGGTTATGTCAACAACATCGAAAGCATATTAACTTATGATGCATGGCGCAGAGTCAGTGACTGGAGTAAACGGTTTTTAAAGACTCATTTTAAGTCCAGGAACACTGAATGCGAATGCGTCAATCTTATCATTATTATTGTTGATGAATGTATACAGGGTGTCCCAAAATTATGTTACTTCCAGGAATTGAGAGTTTCCTGAGGTCATTTGAAGTAACTTTTCCCTTAGCGCAAATGCATCCCGCGGCTTTGTTTATGAATTATTAACCAAAAACAGTGACCAATGAGAAGCGAGCTCTACTAACTAAAACAATTAGCGGAACTGGGCTTCGTCCGCTAGTTGGATCGGCCCTCTCGCACCAGCCGAGCTCATCTCTCATTGATCACTGTTTTTTGTTAATAACTCGTAAACAAAGCCGCGGATTGCATTATCGTTAAAGAAAAAGTTACTTCAAATGTCCTCAGGAATCTCTCATTTCCCGGAAGTAAACGTAAACTCTGTATGACTTGTAAAACGGGTCAGTCGAACGCCAAATCTCGACGAGTGCCGTGAGACAAAGCGAGATGGAGTATTAACCTTTTAGGTACGGCTGAATTCTGCGCGAGGCTGTTTCTCTGGACGGCAGCTGTCTCTTATACACATCTCGTTAATAACTCGTTAACGGTGCCTCGGAGAACATTTTTGTAAAGGAAGAAGTTGCTTCAAATGATCCGAGGAACCCGCCATTTCCGGATTGCGAGACATTTTTGGGACATCCTGTAGACTGTTGAAAAGCGATGTGAAGACAAAAGAAGTGTGAAACAATGCATATGAAGACGATTATTTGGTTCAAACGATGAGCGAGTGAGCTACTAGAGCAAGCCACTATAGTGGCGTGTCGTTCTGAAAGATGACATCCGCGGAAGCCACTATAGTGGCGTGTCGTTCTGAAAGATGACATCCGCGGAAGCCACTATAGTGGCGTGTCGTTCTGAAAGATGACATCCGCGGAAGCCACTATAGTGGCGTGTCGTTCTGAAAGATGACATCCGCGGAAGCCACTATAGTGGCGTGTCGTTCTGAAAGATGACATCCGCGGAAGCCACTATAGTGGCGTGTCGTTCTGAAAGATGACATCCGCGGAAGCCACTATAGTGGCGTGTCGTTCTGAAAGATGACATCCGCGGAAGCCACTATAGTGGCGTGTCGTTCTGAAAGATGACATCCGCGGAAGCCACTATAGTGGCGTGTCGTTCTGAAAGATGACATCCGCGGAAGCCACTATAGTGGCGTGTCGTTCTGAAAGATGACATCCGCGGAAGCCACTATAGTGGCGTGTCGTTCTGAAAGATGACATCCGCGGAAGCCACTATAGTGGCGTGTCGTTCTGAAAGATGACATCCGCGGAAGCCACTATAGTGGCGTGTCGTTCTGAAAGATGACATCCGCGGAAGCCACTATAGTGGCGTGTCGTTCTGAAAGATGACATCCGCGGAAGCCACTATAGTGGCGTGTCGTTCTGAAAGATGACATCCGCGGAAGCCACTATAGTGGCGTGTCGTTCTGAAAGATGACATCCGCGGAAGCCACTATAGTGGCGTGTCGTTCTGAAAGATGACATCCGCGGAAGCCACTATAGTGGCGTGTCGTTCTGAAAGATGACATCCGCGGAAGCCACTATAGTGGCGTGTCGTTCTGAAAGATGACATCCGCGGAAGCCACTATAGTGGCGTGTCGTTCTGAAAGATGACATCCGCGGAAGCCACTATAGTGGCGTGTCGTTCTGAAAGATGACATCCGCGGAAGCCACTATAGTGGCGTGTCGTTCTGAAAGATGACATCCGCGGAAGCCACTATAGTGGCGTGTCGTTCTGAAAGATGACATCCGCGGAAGCCACTATAGTGGCGTGTCGTTCTGAAAGATGACATCCGCGGAAGCCACTATAGTGGCGTGTCGTTCTGAAAGATGACATCCGCGGAAGCCACTATAGTGGCGTGTCGTTCTGAAAGATGACATCCGCGGAAGCCACTATAGTGGCGTGTCGTTCTGAAAGATGACATCCGCGGAAGCCACTATAGTGGCGTGTCGTTCTGAAAGATGACATCCGCGGAAGCCACTATAGTGGCGTGTCGTTCTGAAAGATGACATCCGCGGAAGCCACTATAGTGGCGTGTCGTTCTGAAAGATGACATCCGCGGAAGCCACTATAGTGGCGTGTCGTTCTGAAAGATGACATCCGCGGAAGCCACTATAGTGGCGTGTCGTTCTGAAAGATGACATCCGCGGAAGCCACTATAGTGGCGTGTCGTGCCTAAAAGGTTAAGCTTTACGAGCCACGTTCCGTTTTTTCCCCGCAGGAATTCGAGTGCGCCGTAGAACGTGCGAGAATCCCTCGATGCGGAAGTCCGGCGTCGTCGAGTGCAACGGATGCGACGTCCAGGTGGAAGAGTGCAACAGCCATCGGTGCGTCGAGACCAAGAGGTATTCCGGTTGGACGCCGTGGCTCGCGGCGAACGCGACCGCCCTTCAGATCGTTGGGAACCTCGGGTACGTCGAGAAACGATTCCGGTTCAGCTGCCGCGCGCAAACCGACGACCCGTCGAGCGTCAGAGTACAGCTCGCCAAAGAGGAGGAGCGTTACTGCAAGAACGATGGTTCCTGCACCAAAGGTAGCCTCGGCCAGAGCGGCTACGGGGATCTCGCGGTGGAAACAGGATGGAGCGAGTGGTCTTCCTGGCGTCTCTGCGACCGGCCTTGCGGCGGTGGTTCGCAACGCAGGGTGCGTACCGTTGTCTCGATTCCAGCATCAAGCCGTGAACCAAACCGCAACACAGAGATTCCTTTGATTAAATACTTGCAAAACGTAAAAGCCGATGCTGCTTGACAATCACAACTACACTGGTATTCTCAACGATGTAAATCACGAGACTGTCGGCTGGCAGAAAGATTGCCAATTTATGCTTTACATACTGGGTGTTTATTTTATCCTGCACATTGAAATAGCTTCGTTATTTTCCGCAGAGATCGAAAGATTTGCTAGGACAACTTTGTTCAGGTCGAAACTAAGAATATTATGATTCATGTGTTTTCTTTCTTTCAAGGTTATATTTTTTGAGTAGCGGAGGTCATGGTTATTTTTGCACGTTAATCCCTATTTTTATAACGCAGCACCGTGGTGTGCATCAAGATAAATTCGACGACCTCTGACACTGTGACCTTTAAATGATCTTTAAAAAATAAGAGTTAATGTGCAAAAGATAGCGATGACCTTCAACAGTTGAAGAAAAAAATGATCTTGAGAGAAAGAAAACATGAATCATAATATTCTGAGCTTTGAACTAAAACAAAGTTGTCCTGATACGTTTTTTATATCAGCAAAACTAACGAAGACATTTCAACGCGCAGGATAAAGTAAACACCCTACATAATATTGTACATTATCTCATTGATTGTCCGTATCTACTAGCACAAATTGGTCTCTACGCACCGACACGTGAATTAAGATCGCGAGTTTGTATTCAAGCATCGTTCACGAATTGCTCTCAGCTGTTCATTTTCCATTTATAGCTCGTCTATTTATTAATAATTTCTTTTTCGCGCAGTCGATCTTTGACACACCAGCGTTTATTGTAATTAAATAATGCACATATAGGGTGTCCCAGCATCGGTGGTACAACCGAGAAGAGGGTAATTCTACGCAAAAAAACGAATCAAAAATAAGGAATACAATTTTTTCATTCGAGGCTTCGTCGTCGAGAAAAAAGACTCTGAATATTCAAACATGAGATTTTTTATTTTATTGTTGTCATTCCAAGCAATACCATTCTAATTATGGTCCAGTACATTGGTCGCTCTATCATCTAAGAAAATTCAAGTCGTTTAGAATCCAGTTCTAAAACAGTTATTCCGTTCTAAAAGACGTTCGAATACTTTCGTTACCAACTGTAACTATAGTTTAAAATAGTTTAAGTGGGTGGATCTCGATAGAAGTCCTATGTCACTTATAAATAGTGTTACTCATTTCTGTCTATGAATTTAGAATGGATTTAAATGAAAATAAGACATGTAATTCAGTTAGAAACTTACTTTATCAATGGAGAGAAAACGTTGGAAAAGCTGAATATTCAAAATCGTTTTTCTCGACAACAACGCCTTAACTGAACAAATTTTATTCTTTATTTTCGATTTGTTTTTTCATCTAGAATCATCCCTCCTCGGCTGTACCACCGATTCCGAGACATCCTGTATAAGGGCTTCTTGCTCATATATTAACACTATGCCGTCCGCAGATTTTAGCTATGATTCTTTTGTTTGACGCCGGCATAATAACTTGGAAATTTTAGATTTCAAAAAAAATTTCGAAGATGGCGGTAATATAAATTCCTGAAATTAAGATATGTCATCCAAGAATTTTCGTACTTAATTCTTAGTTAAATAAGCACGATGCTATAGTTAGTTTGCTGCCTTTTAACACCCAAGAAATACAGTTCAAATGTTATTTCAGTTTTTTGAAATGGCACCAAAGTGGTACCACCGGCATACAACAGATAGCTTTTGCATGGCACCAGCGTGGTGCCACCGGACGGCATAGTGTTAATAACAATAATAACAATAAAATCGATTCACGCGTTGTAGGTCAGACAATGCGAATCCCCGCCTTGCGAGGGTGGTATGTCGCTCCAGACGAAAGCGTGCAACACGCACCCGTGCCGGTCGACGAGTCTCGTCGACGACAGCAGCGGGACGGCAGCTGCGATCGCGGAGAGCCAGTGGTCCTCGTGGACCGAGTGGTCCGAATGCTCGGCATCCTGCGGCTCGGGCGTTCGAAGCAGAACCAGGGAGTGTCTCGGCCCGGAAGACTGCGAAGGGCCGCGCCTGGTCCGCGAGACTTGCGAGATGCCCAGCTGCGAATCGCTCTACGGATGGGACACGTGGTCCAGGTGGACTCCGTGCGACGACGATCGCCAACAGCATCGGAAACGCTTGTGCGCCGAGCCCGGGGACGGAGCCTGTTTGGGGCCGAGTCGAGAGACGCGCGACTGTATACCGGATTGCATGGACAACGGTGAGTGTCTCATCGCTTGTCATCTTGTCGCAAATAAACATGATCATACTTTAGCATAGAGATGTTCAAAGGCGGACTTGGTGTTTACGTATAAAATTTTAAATGACTTCGTCTCACCTCCTGAGATACTATCGTGTTCTACATATACTCGATCAATTTGTGTTTAACGATTTATTCTCTCGAGTTCCACGGCACATCTTACTACATATACAAGTGTCTTAACAGAATGGTTATCGCGATAAATAATTCTGGCCACTTGTTAGACTTGGATTATATATGGATATATACTATATATACATGGATTATATACTTCTCCATTTAATACTTAATAGGCTTACAAATACTTCTCTATTCCTATTTAATTTATATCGTAATGTTTATAACTAAAGGAGTTTTGCCCCGTTTAATAAATAATATTATTTCAGATGTGAACGCGCTCCGGTCAAGCGTAGAACACTCGGGCGTTACGATCGGCGTGGTGGTCGCGAGCTGCGTGGTCGGATTCCTGGTCGGTTTGGCTTTGACAGCGGTCCTGGGCTTCTGCTACCTGAAACGACGGCAGCGACGAGTCCCGGGTAGTCCGCACTACGCTGCCAAGCAGAACCCGTACGTGACAGTGCCGTTGAAAGAAGTAAGTTGGTTCGGAATGGCGAGAAGATCGAAGTAAACCGTTAACCGCGAATCGTTGGTTTGCTTGAGCAGGTGAACGCCAAGCGGCAGCCCAGCTTTTCCGGCAGCACGAACGGTAACGGAACGCTCCGGGGCAAGAACAACGCGAACGTGAACGGCCTCGGGAGCCCGAAACCGTATCCGAAGAGCCTCGACTACGAGTCCGCCACGCTGAAGCGCAACAGCCACGGCCAGCAACACATCCGAGTCGACCTGGACCAGGACAAGTACTACTGAAGCGCTGCGAACTCTCTGGATGGAACCAGTAATCGCGGGAGCAAAAGGATCTGCTCGACGCCGAGGAACCGAGCCGTCCAAGGCGGACAGATCGTTCGCGGGAGGGTTGGAAGTTCGAGACTACGTGTAGGAGGAGAGATCTGCTCGATCTGCTCGTGTCATACTCAAACGACAGCTACGGTTATTCTTTTTTTATTGTACAGACAAACGACTTCTCTTCGAGTTTCATATCGAACGAATTAGTGCCATTGCATGGAATTGAACGAATGCAACGAACCCGAAACGGGAGTGTGCGTGTCGTTGGATGTATACGTGTGGATGCGTGGATGAGTGGATGCGTTATGTGCGGTCGAGGCACATCGTTTTTATTGGCTCACATTGAGTCGCGAAAACGCGTTGAGAATACGCGCGAACACCGGTCGAGAATACCAATAAAGCAACGACCATTCGTCCGGATAGGGCGAGCCGTGTCAAATCGAATGACGTTTCGCAAACAATTTCGTTACGTGAAAACCGCGGGCGTTATCGCTCACAAATCACGAGCCAATTGTTCGAGCTTGTCGATCGCGAAGTCCATCGAAGCTTCCGTTTTAGGGGGTTGGCAAGTGACGACCATACGGAAGAAGTTCCCGTGATTTTTATAGGTGAGCGGCGTGTAGCCGATCATCAACGAGCCATCCAGCATCATGAGCTCCTTGATCTTGGCAGTAATCCTGTATAACTTGTTCCACCAATCCTGCGTTTCCTCTTGGCCGCGCATGCTCGGCGGCACGTACCTGGAACAGACGAAATTATTATTATTACTATTATTATTTGTATTATTATTCTTCCTTTTACGAGCTTTGCAAGCTCTTTTAAGTAGCAAGCTTTTAAAAGTAGTCGGCCTTTTAACTCTTCAAGAACGATGCCTGTGCAGCGTGCGGACACTTGTGCCATTCCCGTATGAATGGATAATTTTTATAATCCATAAAATACTCAAAACAAATGGCACAGATTGTGTAAAGACTCTTTCTCTCTCTCTCTCTCTCTCTCTCTCTCTCTCTATATATATATATATATATATATATATATATATATATATATATATATATATATAAAAAGCTAAGAACGGGAGAAATAATTTCCCAGCATGCTCATTACTATCGTTGGCCGCACGATAAGCAACCACGAGTTTTGCATCGTCCTTGATGGGTTAAAGTTGACTGAATGTCGCACTAAACATCTGAGAGCCTTGGGTGCTGAGAGTTTCACCTGGGTGAGATGTTCAGTAAAAGAAAGCGAATCCGAGAGAGAGAAATGCATGCCCGGATAACGAGTAGTTGAACAACTAGATGAAACAGTATCGTTTGAAAGTTTACGGATAGCCAATGATCGAATGCTCGAATTTTCGCGGTCGAAATGAGCCGTTTATTTTGAAAGTGGCTTAAGTCACTTTACCGTAATGAAAAGTGGTGATTTTTTAATGTTTATACGAAATTATTTATACTGAGAAAAATATCAGTATCCTGAGATAACAAATACAAGTAAATCTTCTCGAAAGTTAGCATCCATATTTTTAAACGTGTTAAAACGCAAACCCTTAAATATATAATAATATGCCTGTCACTTTGTTTATATATATATAAACATATATATATATAAACAAAGTGACTTATGATACTTTCAAAATAAACGGCTCAAATAGAACGCGCGAGTTTCCCCGCTTTCTACCGACCAGAAGCAGATGTTGCAGCACTCGTAGCTGGGGAGAACCAGCCGAAATCCTTCGCGGTTCTTGATGCGCTCAAAGAAGTATTCGGCGGCGTGCATGGCTGTGTCGACGGATTCGCGAAGACCCCTGGTGCCTCGCGCCTTCCACATCAGCCACAGTTTCAGAGTGTCCACCTAAGGAGAGCAGATACGTATAGGTCGTAACGGATGAGGCGACGCGGGTTGCGTGTCACTGTTGTTCTCTCACCTTTCTTCCGCACTGCAAGCTCTTGTCGCCCGTGTCCCACGATACGTCGTAGTGCTTGTCCTGCTGGAAAAGGTACTTTGCCCCCGCGCAATTCGTCTCGTGCATCAGATTCTTACCCTTGGTCAGGAACATCGAGCACTGGAACGGGGCGCCGAGCATCTTGTGCGGATTCCACGCCACGGAATTCGAGCTACGGCCGACAACAATGGAATACGATCAACCATAAAAAAGAACCAAAACAGTATCGACCGCGTACCGATCGAATTACGTACAGCTCGACCCCCTTTAGCCGCGCCCGGTACTTTTCCGACAGCAGCAGCGTACCGCCGAGACAGGCCTGGAACAGGAAATCGATATCTCAACATTCCCGACGATTGTTGGCGATTGCCGGATGCATCGTGACGCGCTCAATACGTACGTCGACGTGCAACCATAGATCCTCTTTTTTGCAGATCGCGGCGACTTCGGGCAGCGGATCGAACGAGCCGAGGACCGTCGTTCCGCAGGTGGCGTTCACGAAGAACGGCACGTTTCCCTGTTTCCTGGCTTCCGCGATGGCGGAGCTCAGCTTGTCGGGTCGCATGCGACCCAACTCGTCGGTCTCCACCTTGTAGACGTGATCGGTTCCCAATCCGAGCCAGTGAGCTCCCTTCGTGATCGAATAATGGCCAGCCTCGCTGGTGAAGCACGCCAGCGGCGGCAGACCCGCGAGACCCTTCCGTTTTACGTCCGGAAACTTGTTGAACCGCGCGACCGCCATCCCGTACATGGCGGAGATGCTTCCACCGGGACAGAAGATGCCGTCGCCTTCCGGAAACTGAGGGTAGCCGAACAGTTTCAGCGACTTTCCGATCACTTGCCGTTCCATCAACGTAAACACCGGGGACACCTCATACGTGTACCTAGAGCGTGTACGCGTATTCGATAAGATATCGCCACCGAGGGGTACGGTTCCCCACTCGTATTTAATTCTAATAATAATATTTATTCGTTTAACGGGACAAACGCTTTGCTATAGAATACAAAAATACGGTATCGATTGAACAGGGTGCGAACGAAAGGTAGATAAAGAGAAATGTTAAAACAAACGATATAGATAGAGATATAGAGATACGATACAGATATATTATAACACAGTCATGTAAAATAATAGAAAATCCAGGTATCTAAAGATCAGTGAAAAGCGCCAAGCGCGACGTACGATACGTAAAGCTGAATTTTTTAAAGTATCAAGCGAGATACAAAGAAATATCTACAGAATCGCTAAAACAATTGGAAGTAGGGAATAATTGATTTATACAATTATTACTGTCGCAGAGTGTACGGTGGAATTCCCTAGCTAGAAGAGATGGTTTTTAATATCTACAGAATCGCTAAAATAATTGGAAGTAGAGAATAATTGATTTATACAATTATTACTGTCGCAGAGTGTACGGTGGAATTCCCTAGCTAGAAGAGATGGTTTTTAATATCTACAGAATCGCTAAAATAATTGGAAGTAGAGAATAATTGATTTATACAATTATTACTGTCGCAGAGTGTACGGTGGAATTCCCTAGCTATAGAAGAGATCGTTTTGTAAAAGACTTTGTCGAGACGTGTAAGCAAAATTAAGTAGGTCGGGCGAACGAACGAGTCGTCGGAACATCCGATAAACAAAGATCAGCTGAGCGATCACAGAGCGCGACGCTGAACGACGTTCAATAACCTAAACAGTGTCAAAGCAGGATCGCCGTTGCGATCGTAAACACACATAATTTGCATCTATGTGGTGAGAGATAAACTATACACTTTCTATCAAGGACATATACGGTATTTATGATACGAATCTCGAACCTTTGATCCATACTTGTGTAACGAACGAACTAGACATTTATAGATCATTAGAAGCGCGGAGGAAGACGAAAAAGATTCAGCCAGACGGATGACGAAACCAAGATTATTTAGTATTTCCAGCGTCTCGAAAATCTGTCAACTCACTGGCTCGTATTGAGTACGTCCGTCAACCAGGAACCCGCCAAGCCGTACACTTCGATGCCGGCGTACAGTTGATTGTGGAAATGCGGGCTGGTCGTTTTTACAGAGTACCTGATGGTCTGTCGCACGGCAGTCTCGATCTCCTCCTTGGTGGCTGGTTCCTCGTCCAAGTCCATCGGCATCCGATTCTTGAACAGCAAGAAACGCACAAATTAATCGGGTTAGGTCGTCGCGATCGTGGCCTCGCGAAAGCAAGACGCTTACCCTAAGCTCCTCCGGCTGCACGAACCGCACCACGGGCTCATCTCCCGACTCGTTAAACGCATTTTCCTCCCGCAGGATCTCCAGTAGCCGGCTCAACAGCTCGAACGACGTTCCGTCGGTGGATCGTGATCCTTCCATCGCGTATCAGAAACTGCGCTCGGGTCGAGTCGAATCGAACGGGATCGGGATACCAGCAAGCCCCTTCTTCCCCACCACGTCCGATTCGATTCCACTTTTCTCGGTTCGTTCACTCGGTTTTTTGACGAGCGCACGCATTCGCTTTCACGCAACGCGTATACTTTGGACGTGTATTCGTGGACGTACTTCGAGCCGCGTAATCGGACAGCGACAGCAACGCAATCATTTAATCATCGGGTCGAACAATTACGCAGGTTACATCCGCATGATTATGCGGGTGATGATCAAAGCAATACAGATAACGGATGCGCAAGATCAAACGAAAAAATGGGAACGCAGATAAGTTAAACTCGCGATATCGAAGCGTTGTGTTATGTTTGTAATATTCCATTCTCGGCGAGCAAACTCGGTGGAACGAGTCAACGCGTCGCGAGTAACGCGAGGAAAATGGGAATGTTCGTTAAGCCGGCGACGAAGTGGAGTCTTGCGCCGACGGTTTATCCGAGGATTCGGTAGTGTTGCTAGCTGCTGACCCGTGGCCGACGTGGTCTATAGGCAATCGCGGTACCAGGCCCCTCATCGAGGCCCATTGACCCTCGCAGAGCTCGTAGATCGACAGGCGCATCAGCATCTTGCCGCCCAGAGTGCCGGGCCCCCTGCATACTGCTCCGGCTCCGAATTCCCATGCGGCGAAACTTTCGCTCTCGGACGAGTTCGCGGTGGCGTTCTCTCGGGAACGATATCGTTTCTGCAGCCACGTAGCCAAGTAAGAGACGGCGCAGTCGCAGTGCCACGGATTTCGAGCGAGACGAAGCTGCTCAATGGACGCTACCGGGTCCAAGATCCGAGCCGGTAGCGAGGACAGATAATTCGACTCCAGCTGTCTGAAATTGATTATTATTGTTATTATTATTATTATTATTAAGTATTTTTTACAATACAGAAATAAAAGCTAATATTAATATAATACAGGATCTGCGTGTCAGCGGTTTAGGTGAACAGCTTATGTAAACTCGTTTTAAATTTTGTAATATTGGTTCCAAATATGTCTATATTTTGTCGCTGTTGTCGTTAACAATTCGAAATGTCCTGCAAAAAGGGTCGCACTAGATCTCGATGAGTAGAACGAGGATCTAAAAGGCAGCGTCGACTCAGCAAATCGAGAAGGAGCATTAAAGTTGACAAGCAGGGTGACGCTCGGATTATTGGTCAAGTCATGAATAAGTTTGTAAAAAAAACATAGATGTGCAATGAATCCTCTGGACTCTAGGGAACTTACATTAAGGGAAGACATTGAAGAAACCGTAGTTGTGATCCATTCGCGGAAACGGTTGACCCATTTTAAAAGGGAACAAAGCGAAGAAGCCTATGCTGGATGCCCTCAATTTTGTAGACAGTTTTAACGCTTCGCACTTTAGTGACGACTCAAAGGCGTCATCAAAAATTATTTTATCACGTGTCAAAATAATTTTAACATCATCAAACTTGTTCATATTTTTAAAAAAACTGTGCGAAGTGTAACTGATGCTTGAGTCACAAAATTCAATATTGTACGCATAAAATGTGGTAAGTTACATGAAATGGAAATACTATAGGTCAGAGAAACTAGTTTAGATTTCGAGTTAAAACAGCTTCGAGTGCAAACGGTTGATAGTAAAGGATACGGTTTAGCACTTGTCTTCTCGACCAACGAGAAATTTTTGAGAAAATTCTGCTTACAATTTCCGAAGGTTCGGCGTGTCCTGGAACAGCTCCGGATGCAGGATCCTGAGATGATTCGAGTGCAGAAACAGAGACGTCAAATTCGAGAGACCGCGGAACGCGCCGTGCGTCAGCCTTTCGATGCCGTTCGCGTACAGCACCAGTCGCTCCAGCGAGCTCAAGGTCGAGAACAGACCCGGTGTCACGTTTCGTATTCGATTGTGGCCCAGCTGAAGATCTTTGAGTGCCGTAAGACCGTGGAAAGCGGTCAGGTGTATCTGCGGACAGGCGTTCGATTTGAATTCTTCTTCTTCTTCAATAATAATAATAATTTATTATTATTCAAATCTTCTTGGACATATTTAAGGAACATACTCTACTATAAATTTTAAAATCATCTGCAAAGAGTAGAAAATTGCAGTTTTTTAAGGACTTTGGTAACATAATTTATGAAAAAGATAAATAAAAGTGGCCCAAGACATGAGCCGTTTATTTTGAAAGTGGCATAAGTCACTTTTTCAAAAAAATCGAGTTAATGGTAACACTAATTACAATTGAACGGTATCTTTTCATTTAAAAAAAATTTGCAATCAATAAGTTGAGAACTATTGAGATTTGTTCGAGAGAAGTTTTGCTAATTAACGGTATAACAAACATATTTATTTTGAAAGTGGCGTAAGTCGCTGTACTCGGGAAATTAATTGCGGGGCTTAGTGTAAAGGAAATAGAAACGTGTGATAAGTGTGTGTGAAGTATTGTTTTGAATTATTTTCAGTATTTTTAAAAAAGTTGTGATCACTGGACTTATTTTTATAAGTGCGAAA